GATAAGACGTTTCGGTCCATTAAGTTATATACGTATTAATCTAACATTCGTTTCTTCTAAAGGGATTGCCAGTTCAGCAATTCTTGTGACAAAATCGTTTGAAGGGCTACAGTCGTTTTGAGATGCATTCGGCCTATTGAATATCACTGTTCATTTTCTAGATAATGAGTTTCATTTTTTAGACGTTGATGAAGCGCCTTGCTGTCTGGAGACCCTTGTAATAGATTTTTCAAAAAATTTGAATATTTTTGGCATGAAATCTGAATTTGAAAAAATTTTTTAGTTTTGGTAGAAATTTTATGCCTAACCATGTCTTCTTGCACATGACACTTAGCCAATCTCCTTTTCTGTTATTTCAATTTAAAAATTTATGATATAAAAGCAATCAGTGGCACAACTGGTAGTGACGAAAAGATGTTTTTCAGATTGGTGGTTAGCTGTGTTGTTGGCCGTGATTACATTGCTTTCATTCGTTTCATTGATTGGAAGCGCAATGATTTATCGGTATATTCTACCAGTTTCTGCATAAGTAATTGGGAGTTTGGTCCCCCAAATTTTGCGGGCTGAAAAATTTTACAGTTGCTTTGACCAGTGTTGCATACATCAGATGTTAGCCTATTGATAATTCCTGTCCGTTTCGTCTCCTGAAAGAGTTACCCAGCTCAACTGCTTTTCTGATAGAAGCACTTGACAGGTTTTTTTAGCCAAAGACAGTTTGGCGTGTGTTGAGCATCACCATTTCCAGAAGTTGCTGATCTTAGAACAAAATTGGGTATTTTAGTACCTAGGATTTTTAAGTGTTGTTCTTTAAAAATTTATTAAAAAACAGGTATTCCTTGAAATTTCTTCGTAATGCTAGAGGCGGCATGTACAAACTGGAGACATACGGCGTAAGATAAAACGATTTGGCTTTAGCAATGGTGTAATTGTTGAGAATTTGTTTTCACATTAATGCCATAAAAAAAAATTTTACACCGACAATAACTTGAGCGAAATTGATTTTGCGGTTTTTGGTGAAATTCATTTATTGCAGAAATTATAAATTTGAGAAAGAACTTGCAAGTATTTGGAAGATTGATCAACGTGAAATCGAAAAAATTGTGCAGTGTTACGAGTCGGCCACTTCGCTGTATATCGTGGAAGACAGTCAGGTGGGATCTGGTTTTGGAAATCGAAAAATTAAGAAAGTTTGAAAAAATCTTATTTAAAAAAATTGGAAAAAATGGATTTAAAAAAATCTGTATGAACAAAAAATTAAGAAATTCGAGATAATTTGGGGCAGTTTCAAAAAAAATGAAGTTTTGTTTCCGAAAAATTGGATAATTAAAAAATTTTTTCAAAAAACTGCTACAAATTTGTCCTAAAAAATTTTCTGAGGAAGTTATTAGTCTCTTTTTTCCTTGAAAAATCGAAAATTTAAAAAAGATTGCAAACAAAACCAAAAATTTTCAGCAGAAAGATGAAGTTGAAGTATTTTTTGTGCTCGTCTGTTTTTTTTTTTCAACGTTATTTAAAAATGACAGAGCTTTTAGATGTGTTTACAGAACGGCGATGATTACAGCCAGGAGAAACGCTGGCCAAGCCTGTGTGGTGTTGCACTGTATAAAGGCGCTGTTGTTTCGATCGACGAGATCACGTATCCACGAAAAACGAAAGAATTGACTCGAACTGCTAAGCTGGAAATGAGGATTATGCGTCAGTTGCATCATGATAATGTAAATTCATTCATGGGTGAGTTAAATTCGGAAAATTCAGCTTTTTCGTGATTTTAGCATGGGATTTCATGCGTAATTACATAGCCACGCGGATTTTTTTTCTTTTACAAAAGCGCAACCTAACAGAAAGTTATAACAGGAAAGAGTGGAAAAAAGAGGAAAAAGGAAAAGAGAGGTAAAAAACGAAAAATAAAGAATTTATGAGATTTTTATAATTGGTAAGAAGTGTTCCGGTCCATTAAGTCGTATACATTTCTTATCATTACACAACTGGACCCCTTCAGTATGACGATTGTGGTAACAGAAGTTAGTGAAGGTTAGAATAAAATTAATTGTGTAATGCATGCTAGTAGGGGACAAAATGTTGAGGAAAATAAGTAGTAATGCAAGTATTAAAATTGTTCAATTAGTTAATGTGGTGGAAAAAAATATCATTATGATCTGGGAATGGCAACGAACTAGACATAGTCAAGGGTGGACGAGGTATAATTCGAGCAGTTCCAAGTATGTCGAGAGAACTCATCATCACATTTGTTCAGCTAAGCTTGCTTGATAAAAAAGAACCAGTATCAGCCTGATCAACGATTGGTAATGCAGTAAAGATCGAGCAACTGATATACAAAGCAACCTTGTGAGCTATTCCTCAGAGGGCAATATTTATGTTGTTGGTCCTGAATTAAGAAAACTGAGCCAAAATTTGGCTTCTTTTCACTGGCGGTAACGATTTTTTCTATATTTTTCTGCCTCATCGGCGTTTTTATGCTCGGAATCCGCAGGAATTACGACGACAGGTAAACCTGGTCGCGCGAATAGGTAAGGCAGCAGGTGCAGTGATTAATATTAAAAAGTGTGCGAAAGTCCACTATTCCCCTCACGAACGAATTGCTGGGGCAACAGCTAATGCCGATGCATTTAGACTGCCAACGTTAGGGTCTAAATAATTGCAGGCATTGTGATCGGCCCATCATCCATTTGTATTGTGAAAGAATTCTGTGCCAAAAGTTCACTGATGGATGTTCTTCGGAATCGTGATCTCAAATTGGACCATCTTTTCATTGCTTCGTTTGTGGAGGATCTTGTTAAGGTATTTTTGTTTTGAGCTAGGGTTTTTTTTTCCTAGTTTCTTTGCTGTCTTAGACGAAGAATTAGATGTCAGGATCGTTAGAAGACTGGCCACCAGGTAATGCCAAAATTGGTCAAAGTAAGTAGAAAAACTGTCAGATTTTTGAGTTATTGTAAGAAATATTATTTTAAACTTTTTTTAAGGGGATGATTTATCTGCACGAATCGGAATTAAAAGTGCATGGAAATTTGAAATCTACGAACTGTTTAATCACAAGCCGTTGGACGTTGCAAGTAGCTGATTTTGGGCTACATGAAATCCGTGATGGACAAGATTGGGAAAGCGTCGATTTGATGGTAACTGCTTTTTGAAGAGTATTTTATTTGAGAGGTACACGAACACGGAATCGATGGGCCAGTAATGCCAAACGAACTGCATATGTTAACACATAGAAGATTTCAGGCCCCCGTCTTCTTCCAATCTCCTTGCCATAGATATTCGCTATTTGTATCTTTAAAATTTCTACAGCACTTCATGTAGTAGCAGATAACGCTGCTCTGGACTTCGACTTAGTTTTTTGGATCATCCGATGAAAAAGCTAAAAATTCGCTTTATTCCGATACTAATTTTGTACCGGTACATGCCAAGGAGTCAGAATTC